TTTTTTTTTGTCTTCTCCTTCTCTTTCTCACCAATTCGTTCTTTCATTCAATTATTTATTTGCTAATTACGGGTTTCGTTTCTTTTTCCGCTATTCCGTTTTTCAGTACCACTGCTGATTGTTTTGTTACCAAACAATGAAAAAACTAACACGCAAACAATTCATTGGTTCAGTCGAGAGGACGGAACGAAACATCAGAAATACGTCTTGTCTCTTTTGTTTCCTTTATTCTTCATTTGTATGTTGGAAAATTTATCAATTCATAAAATCACTTCACTTCTCCTTTAAATTTCTCACAGTCCTTGATTCTTCTAAATTTTATTTCTTCCTTTAAGCATCAAAACTCGAAACAACAACAACAACAGTAACAACAACAACAATTATAAAATATTTTCTTTTGTTTTTAATAGCCACTCTTATTGTCATTCGTACTCTGCCCGAGGCAAATTTTGACGCCCCTCGGGTACTCACTTGTGAAGATAAAAATCATTATTTTTCTCTATTAAAATCCTACATTGGATGCCTTTTCCCTCTGCCTTCTCCTACTGGCACCAGAGTCAAGCGCCCGCGCACACACACACACGACTATTCGTCTATATAGACGTTTATGCCTTATACAAGTAGGTGTGTATGCACGTTCGTCTTTTGTTCCATGTCACTCTACAGCATTTCGATTCTTTAAACAAAGATGCACAAGTTTTGTCCAGTTCAAACATTTCACGGATTCGCGATCCTTTTCGTTCCCGCCTTTTCACATTTTACATTGTTCCCATCCGTGTCAACGACTCACTGTCAACTCCTTTGTCAGTGTTCTTGTATTTTTATTTTTACTTTTTGAAAACATATTTAAATGTTTTACATGGTTAATTTATTTATTTTAAATTGTAAAGCAAAATAATTTAACTTTAGAAAGTGTAACCATTTCTTCCCGCGTTTTTAAAATTTTTTGCTATAGCCGTTCTTCAAATATTTTTTAAATGCATCTGTCAAATTTCCCAGATTTAGTTTTAAAATAAAATTTGTAAAATACAAATGAACGACAATAATAATAATAATAATAATAATAATAATAATAAGAAGAAGAAGAAGAAGAAGAAGAAAATGAATAGGATGGTAAAGTAGAAAATGAAAAAGATGAAGAAAAAGAAGACTAAAAAGGCATAGGTGAATAATAATATGTGCACTGGAAGATATGCAGAAAGCTCACTGAGAGATGGTATCACCCCGAACCAAACACAGTTACCCAAAATAACGATGTAACTTTTGTCTGGAACATGCCAATTCAAACTAACAGGGAGATAAAAGCCAATAGACCTGATATTATCATAAAAGACAAGAAATTCAGGAATTGTATGCTTATTGACATAGCAGTACCATCTGAGAGAAACAACTCCATAAAAATTATCGAGAAATTGTCCAAATACAAGGACCTGGAGAAGATTGAGATTAACAAGATGTGGGGAATGAAGACTCGGACTGTACCAATAGTAATTGAAGGACTGGGCTTCGTGAGAAAAGGAATGGACAATTTTACAAACAGTGTCCCAGGTAACATCAACATACAAGTTGCCCAGAAGATCGCCCTACTAGGAAATATTCTATATACTAAGAAAAGTGTTATCAATTAAATGACAATTCGCCTATAGGGCCTAATAACAATAGTTTGGATTCGGCTCCACAGGATAAAAAGCAGGAAACATAGCATACACAAATAATAATAATAATAATAATAATGATAATAATAAGATGATGATGATGAATAGGATAGAGAAGTAGAAAATAAAGAATATGAGAATAAAGAAGGAAAAGGCAGAAGTGAATAATAATAATAATAATAATAATAATAATAATAATAATAAAATAATGGGAAGAAGATGATGGAGAAGTAGAAAATGAAGATGAGGATAAAGAAGAAGGAAAAGGCAGAGGGGAATAATAATAATAATGGGAAGAAGAAGATGACGGTGAATAGGATGGAGAAGTAGAAAATGAAGAAGGTGAGGATAAAGAAGAAGGAAAAGGCAGAGGGGAATAATAATAATAATAATAATAATAATAATAATGGAAAGAAGAAGATGATGGTGAATAGGATGGAGAAGTAGAAAATGAAGAAGGTGAGGATAAAGAAGAAGGAAAAGGCAGAGGGGAATAATAATAATAATAATAATAATGGGAAGAAGAAGATGATGGTGAATAGAATGGAGAAGTAGAAAATGAAGAAGATGAGGATAAAGAAGAAGGAAATGGCAGAGGGGAATAATAATAATAATTAACTGACGTTAAGAATTGAACCGAATTCTCAGAACAGAACGCCGACCATTTATAGCCTTGCCATTCCAGTGGTTCAATTGAACTGGACTCTAAATGATATCAGCTGAATGGATTCCAAGACACGAAAGCTTCTTTCTAAGCAAAACATGCATACTCCAAACGCTGATGCAGACCGTTTATACATCTGGCCTTGAAAAATATAACGTCACCAGTGATGGCATCAGATTTTCATCTCGCCCAGACATTACTGTCTCGACTGTCGATTAGTTGTCCTACGGGCATTGTCTGCGATGGACGTTATTCTAAGGAAGCTTAGGGAAATTGTAACGCTGCACGAATTCACTGGCAAGACTTACCAGTAAGCAAATCAAAGTACTATAGACTGGCCCGGAAACTTTCCTGATTTAAATCCAATCCAGAATCTGTGGTCAATCTACAAGGAACAATTTATTAGAATGGACATACTCTGGGTCATGTTTCATTGGGAAAATACGAAAAAGGTAAATAATAATGGAATTATTTGTTTTATTTCAATCAATCTGCACAAGGGTGTATATATAAAGGGTTAAAAATATCAGTAGGATTAATAAAAATCCATTCTGAAATTCTCTTTGTTTAAGTTTGGATACGAAACTGTGTGCAGGTACAAAAAAACTTCGAGAGATCTATGGCGGGATTAATTTCGCTTAAAATTGGCTTCTCCTACCGACTGTTTCTTCTTATGTTTATTTTAAATTTGTAACCTGTAGGTGATATTACTTTTGTCAAATTTACTTGATTGTACAGCGGCTTTTTTATAAATACCCTTCGGTTTTAGTTGCCTCTACATCTTACCTCTTTTTTCTTTTCTTTTTCTTTTCTTTTTTTTTCTCTCACTCTCATCTTCTGATTTTTAAGTTTAGATTATATCGTCCTTTATTGTGCGTAGTGTCACCACAAATGTATAAACCCATTTTCCGGTGTCGGTTTTTAATTTAATTTCGGTCAACGATTCAGTAATGAATTATGCATCGGAAAATAAGTCATATTTATCTGTATCTCACTCATGTAAAACTGTCATTTAGCTCTTCTATTTAAAACTTTTCTCTGTTAAATATTAATCCCCACCTTCACTTTTAGGCCTTCCTGTTCTTCTCTCGTCTGTTACCCCTCTCTAGAGCTTTCATTTACCTCTCACTTTCGTCCCCCACTCTCATACATAAAGTCTCACTAAATTTCTGTTTTTATTCCAGGAGTCATTTTGTTCTGATTTCTTTTTGAGTTTGTAGGTCTGATGAATTGGATTGCAATTACGATTCCAATGTAATAAATTATAACCATGGAATATTAGTGTTTAAGTCTTTTTATTATATATATATATATATATATATATATATATATGTGTATCCGTGTAACTGGCTTGATGAAGCCACGTGATCAGTTACCAATATTTGCCCTTTCGTGCGAAACTTAAGAAAAAGCTAAAGAAATTTCCTTTCTTTTTGTCGAAAAGTAAAAGAGGTTTCAAAATAAATAACTAACTAGAAATATATAAATTCCCTCAAGTCGTCCTTTGTCTCCGACCAAGGAATTCCGGCTAATTATTTTCCCTTTCTAAGAAAAAGGATGGAAGGAAGGACCTTCGAATCATTGTCTCAATTATTATTATTATTATTATTATTATTATTATTATTATTATTATTATTATTTTCTTTGATTTCTGGCGTTTACTCATTTCTTTCCGGGTCCCGACCAGGGACCTAAGGTTAGAAATGGTATCATGACACTTTCCATTGACAAAAAAAAAGAAAAGAAAATATAGGTAAATATAGATAAAGCCCATCGTAAAGTGTGGGCTGTATTTGTCAGAACAATTTTTCGTATCACTTTGAGGCATGGACTTCCAGGAATCCCTTCAATTAGTCTACTGCAATCTTTTCCAACCAGTCCTAGGGCTCCAACTACAATAGGGGTTGTTGATGTTCCAATATGACACATTTTCGAGATTTCTATTTCAAGGTCCTTGTATTTTGACAGCTTTTTGAATATCTTCAAAGATACATTGCAGTCAGCAGGGACTGCCATATCAATAAGGAGGTACTTATTATTATTATTATTATTATTATTTTCTTTGATTTCTGGCGTTTACTCATTTCTTTCCGGGTCCCGACAAGGACCTAAGGTTAGAAATGGCATCATGACACTTTCCACTGTCAATTAAAACAAAAATATAGGTAAATATAGATAAAGCCCTTCGTAAAGTGTGGGCTGTACTTGTGAGAACATTTTTTTGTATCTCCTTGAGGCATGGACTTCCAGGAATCCCTTCAATTAGTCTACTGCAATCTTTTTCAACCAGTCCTAGGGCTCTAAGTACAACAGGGATTGTTGATGTTCCCATATGCCACATTTTCGTGATTTCTATTTCAAGGTCCTTGTATTTTGACAGCTTTTTGAATATCTACAAAGATACATTGCAGTCAGCAGGGACTGCCATATCAATAAGGAGGCACTTATTATTATTATTATTATTATTATTATTATTATTATTATTATTATTATTATTGTTGTTCTTCTTGTTCTTGTTCTTCTTCTTCTATTAAATAGTTAATTCCTTGGAGAGAAGATATCAAGTTAAATAAATAAATAAATGAATAAATAAATAAATAAAGAAAGAAAAATAAAAAAGAAAGTAAGAGATGTATTTGGATGGAATATAAGAAAGAAAGAAAGAAAGATATTTTTGGAAATCATGTATCAAGACAAAGTAACATAAAGGAAAAAGAAAGAAAGAAATTAAGAGATGCATTTGGAGAGAAGGTGATGAAAGAAAGAAGCAAAGTGCAGATAATTTGGAACAGAAAAGAGCAAGGCAAAGAAAAAAGAAAAGAAAAAAGAAAGAAAGAGATCACATTGGATCGAGGGTAACATGGCAACGAAAGTATCTAATTGCAGTAACCTTTTTGTTTACCATCGGCTGGTTGGCAACTTGCCCAATGGATGGCCAAGAACCATTTTTTTTTAATGGCAGCGAATTATATCATCGAAATGTTTATTTCACATGCTAAGATGTCATTATCAGATAATGGATAATGAAGCCATGTGATTAAATATGAATGCTGCTTGTTGGTTAGGCTTGATCCGTAAGGCGAGACCTGGTAAGACAAACACCCAAAGATAAGAGACGTTAATTTAATTCTCGTAGGAACCGTCTATGCTTCTCTTTTTTTTTTTTTAAATCATTTTAATCTGGAGCAAGGCGATAATGCCACTAAGACGTAAGGGGGTTACTGGGAGTGAAATGGAATGAGATGACTTTAGTGAAGAGTAATGAAGAGAAATAACAAGAAAAGGACAAGATTCGAGAAGACAGAAGATGGCAATTGGCGTTTCATTTAAATAGTTGAAGATTGTAGATGGCAGGCAAGCAAGAAATCAGAATGGAGTTCCACAGGTGAGAAGTGCGAGAAAAGAAACTAGCAGCATAGAACATACGGTTGCATCTATCTAGTTGAACAGTAAAACGACGGAACCTAGTTGCTAATTCATGCAGTCGAGACACCAAGGACGAAAGCTCATTAGAACACTTGCCGTGAAAATATTGGTAGAAAAGACAGGCGGGAAACCACGTGACGTCTGTGAGAAATTGACTGAAGCCGAGATGCCAGGTCAGGACGGATAACATTACAGACCCTTCTTTGAATTTTGCCAAGAGTGTCGAGATATATAGTAGGAGCACGAGATATGACAGCAATATTTAATGCACGGACGAATGGTTGTCGTAAATAAAAAAAAAAGACATAGGGGTAAAAAAAACAAAAAACAAACAAAAAACAAACAAAAACAAAACATGTTGTTGGCAGAATTTAATAAAGACAGTACTACTTAGATATACTGGTCCCCTTGCAAAAATTAGGGAAATGATTTTTGTAACCGGCCTTCGTTAGACCTCCCTTAATCCGTGACATTTTTAAAAATCGAAAAATATTTTACTGACCTTTACACAGTTACTTGATTTATCTGATTTGCGTACGAAAAAAAAATTGGGTGGGGTCATAAAAATATTTCTATTAAATAAAGAACAAACGGATATGGTGAATTCTTTTAAAGCATAGACTAGATGTAGCACAAGGTCGAAAGTATGGGGCACCCAGTGAGGATCGACCTCACTGCTCAGTCGTAGATTGATCCAGCAAAACAAGCTTGCCGACCATTACATCATTTCGAGGTACCCAAATGTTCTTTAAAACATAGCTTAGATGTGGTACAAGGCCGAAAGTATGGCGCACCCAGTGGACAACAAACGGATATACATATTACTAACTAAAAGAACCAAAATTGTCATGAATTAATAAAATTAGGGATCCGTTTATTCGCCATTGAATAAAATTAATTATTAACTTAAAATGTCTGTGCATGTGTTTATAAAAACATCCCATTCAAAATTTTTTATAAAAGGTAAAAAAAAAAAAAAAAAAAAAAGTTTTAAAATCCAGAAACTTAGGAGGAAATGAACGTTAACACGTTTTCAAAGTTGACATTAATAAGTAACACCTACGTCAGTGATATAATCCAATAACTTTGTAAAAGTCAGGGATCGTTTTGATACGATATCGATGTTATAAACAGGACCCCCCCACTTCTAAAATAATGGAATAACAATATTTTTCGATTCTGACAAGTGCCCGTACGATCACCAAAGTTAAGCAACGTCGATCATGGTCAGTACCTAGATGGGTGACCGCTTGGGGAATTCTAGATGCTGCAAGCTTCGATGTGCGGATGGTGTAATGGATAATGATTCAAAATTTTTAATCGAAGAGCCGAGTTCCAATTCCAGTTGAGTTCATTAAATTCAGTTACGCGTAAATACCATTGGGGAGGTATGAATCCAACATTTCTCCTTCAAGCTATTTGGTAATTAGTAGGACTTGTATCACTAAATCATTATTATCTCAACAAAAAAAGAAAAGATTCTTATCTAAAAAAAAAAATCTGGCTTTAAATAACCTGCAAAAAGGTTGATAAACCGTAGAAAACGAATCAATCAATAAATCTGACAAGTAAGAAGGCCTAACGAGGTTTTACTGAAAGCTTATCTCCATAAAAGTATTTACCAATCATGTTTTCCTTATCTTTGACGAGTGGACCAGTCTATTTAAGTTGTTCTATAAAGACAGTGCTCAAATCAAGAAAATGTATGCCAGTCAATTTTGTTGTTTCTGACAAACCTGCAGTTCAGGCAGGCATTGGAATAGTCGCGGCTACATTTTTAGAGGACAGAGTTCGAACTCACGCCCAATGGTTTTCAAGATTGACACGCTTCTGTCTGTAAAACAAAGACTACTCGACAAAAGGGCATTCAAATTTTGGCCTCCGATGATGATGGCGATGATGATGATGGCGATGGCGATGATGATGATGGCGATGAAACACGAGTGAGAAAAGACTTGCTGTTTATCAAGACAAGACATGAATCTAAAATCGATGTCCCCTGCTAACGTCCGGATACGAAGCGGGTAAGCCTAATCCACCCGAAGGCGAAATATACACGAGACAATTGGAAAAATAACAAGGGGAGATAAGGATAGAAAAGTAATAAGAAAGGAGAGAGAGAGAGAGAGAGAGAGATAGACAGAGAAACAGAGAGAGATGGTAATAGAAAAAAGGGGGACACGGAGAGTGATATCGTAAGAGTGTGAGTGTGTGTATGTGTGAGAGAGAAAGAACAAGAGAGAGAGAGAGAGAGAGAGAGAGAGAAAGTAGGAGGCATGAAAAATAAGAGAGTGAAAGTGTGAATAAAAAAAGGAAGAAGGAAAAAGTGAATAAGACTAAAAAAGGTCGATATCGACAGGAAGACAAAAGAGTAACCGGTAGATAGAAAGTGTGTGTTTATGTGCGTGTAGGTGTATGCGTTTAGAGAGAGAGAGAGAGAGAGAGAGAGAGAGAGAGAGAGAGAGAGAGAGAGGCAGACAGACAGAGACAAAGAGAAAAAGAGAGAGATGGTAATAGAAAAAACGGGGACACAGAGATAGATATTAAGAGTGTGAGTGTGTGTATGTGTGAGAGAGAAAGAACAAAGAGAGAGAGAGAGAGAGAGAGAAAGTAGGAGGCATGAAAAAATAAGAGAGTGAAAGTGTGAAAAAAAAAGGAAGAAGGAAAAAGTGAATAAGACTAAAAAAGGTCGATATCGACAGGAAGACAAAAGAGTAACCGGTAGATAGAAAGTGTGTGTTTATGTGCGTGTAGGTGTATGCGTTTAGAGAGAGAGAGAGAGAGAGAGAGAGAGAGAGAGAGAGAGAGAGAGAGAGAGAGAAAGAATAATACGGAAAATGACTGAGAGATATGGGCGAATTTAGAGAAAGAAAGAGGGAGACAGTAAAAAGAGAAAGAAAGGAGGAAGTGAGACAAAAACAAGTTATGATAAAAGAAACAGAAAACACTGATAAAAAGAAAGAAAGAAAGAAAGAAAGAAAGAAAGATGTGTGTAAAAAGAAAGAGAAAAAAGAAAACTAGAAGAAAGAAAGACAGAAAGAAACAAACGGTATGAAATGAACTTTGGGCAATTCTTGACGGTATTTCGTCCTTCATGGGGAAGGATTATTCGTAATTTGGAAAAGTCAATCATTAAAATTGATCAACATAAAATGTCTGTCGTTTAGTATTTGCTTGAAGGAACGTTTTCTTCCTATATGCACAGAAGTGCGTTATCCTGGATTTATCAATGCATAATGAATAAAATTTCAAGTTTCTTTACAGGAAATTTAAAAAGCAAAGGAAGGAAAGAAGGAAACAAGAAAAAAGGAAAGAATAAAAGAAGGAGTAAGATTTGGCCTTTTTTAGAGTAGTGAGTTATATAGATATAGAGAGGAAAGTGCTTATGGTGGAGTCGGGTACAGATAAACGCAAAGGTTGAAAATGGACATTGACATAAATGTAACCTATTAAAACCTGTGCAAGAAGAATGAACCAAAAATGGCATAAATTTTTTTTAGAGAAGAGCTTAAAATTATTATAGAACGGGTGTAAGAATTTAAAATTAATAGTTTTATAAAAAGACTAGCAGTAGAGCCCGGCGTTGCCCGGGGATATAACAGTAAGAGATAGATTAAGTATCCACCATCATAAAGACTGAAAAATAAAATTGACAAAGATTATTGTTTAAGGTTGCAAACACGCATGTCTTAATTAGTGTTTTTACGAATTGGTCAAACCCAAACTCAAACAAAAACGTTGTTTTCAATCGTTATGAGTCTACTGATTGAATAGAATTTTATTATAAACAATTGTCTTGTAAATGGAATTTTTAAAGCATTCTGAATATTAAAAATAAAGAAAAAAGTTTGCAAGAGAATAAGAAACACTACCTGACAAAAAAAAAGTGAATTTTTGTTTTATTGGTTGAAAATGTAGGAAATCCGATCCCATATATAAAGGAACACACACACACACAAACAACCTGGGTTTTAACCCGATGTGAGTTGTCCCCTTTCATTCTCACGATGTCTCTTAATCGTGTTTTCAAATTGATTTTGTACAAAAACAATTGTATTTTCCCCATTTTTGGCGCTGTTAGAACCACCACAATGTAATTTTATGTAGTCCTGTGAAGTTTTGTTGAAATCGGTTGAAAAATGTAGGAATTCCGATCCAATATATAAACGTTACACACACACACACACACACACACACACACACACACACACACACACACACACACACACACACACACACACACACACACAATCTGCGTTTTATAATAAGTAAGATGTTAATATTAATCCATTCAATTCTACATCTTTAACTATATAGTAAAAGTTACAGATATATATATATATATATGTGTGTGTGTGTGTGCTTGTGCGTGTGTGTGTCTGTGTGTGCATTAAGTAAATTAAAAGAAAATGTTATACCCTGAATCCATGTTTTTTTCAGAGTTTATTTCACTCATCAGGAATTAAAGGAATCAACTGAATTTTCCAAATTAATTTAAATTGTTTTGCGTTACGCTTCATGACTAGAGTAATTTCTGTGAAACTTGGGTCGGGAAATAAATTCACATGGAAACAATGTTCGTTTTATTTCGTTGTCAGTACAAGTGGTTGAAAAATTAGGATCAGCATATAACAAATGCCTCCGAAGAAATTTACTTGGTTTAAAACAAATCCCGACGCTGACTATTATAGGCAACTGCTCGCTGCCACAGTTTGAATATACGTATACATAATTCATATAATTTAATGACGTTTTTGGCTCCAATTCGACCACGTGTGCATCGATTACATTATGCCAATCTGACATATTGACTATACAACAATATATATATATATATATATATATATATATATATGTATGTATGTGTGTGTGTGTGTGAACACGTTTATTTTTTTATTTTTGTCTGAGCAAATGAAAAAAACATTATGACCAAAAAGTAAATTAACCTCACGAAGAATTGTCTAATAATTAACAAAACAAAACATAACGATATAATTAACACAGTAAGTACTACATCCCTTATTATAACTCTGCTTCTACCCCTCTCTCTCCTTTTGTATTCTGTTTTCTTTCCTGTTCTCGTTTTATATCCTCCTATTGTACATGTCCTTTTTTAATCTCTCTCTCTCTCTTTCTCTCTCTCTGTTCCTTTTCGTACCCCATATTTTATTATGGCTCACACATTAAATATCTTTTGTTCTTTTCTTTCTACTATTTATTCTACATGAGCATGCGCACGATTGCGTACAAGTACGCATGCGCCAGCGTATGGGCACGTCATTCAGTTCGACATTTCCTCATGTTGCTTTTATAATAGAACCGAAGCAATTTAGATTCATTTCATGAATATCCAACAGTTACTAAATACGACTAATAATAACAATATAATAACAAGTGTGTCGGGAGCCACTATACCATCATCTCTACCGGAAGTAGAAGAGATAAAAAAAAAGAGAAATATGGAGGTATTTTAAAAGCAAACGTCATTACAAACGACTGTCCATCAAAATGTTGTCATCGGCTATTATCCATTCCCTTCTTTCTAATCAATTAAAAAATTAAAAAAAATAAAATTATTTTTTTTTAATTCAGAGAAATTCCTAAAGTAAAAAAAAATCCTAAAGCGTATTGAGAAGGAAAAGTTCATAAAAATATGTGAGAAGAAAATGGCTGACGGTTCAACGATTGTGTAAAATGACTATTAATGTCTCATAAAAAAAATGGAGTCTTTTATTTATTCATTTTTTTTTTAAAGAAACGAATGGACTTGTGTTTTCTTTAGATTTTGTTTTTCTTTAAAAGATTGCTTTATTGAATTAACTGGGCATATCAACATAACATTTCATATTTACCAAATGTTGATGGGTGGGAGGAAAAACTTAAATGCACATTGAGGGGAACTCTATGTAAATAGAAAAAATATCGTCTGAAAAATATTTTCATCGAAAAAAATATTCAAAGCAGATTAAATATTAGGTATAATGTGAAATAAATAACTAAAATATTGATAAAAATTGTTTTTTGAAGAAATAAATTTGCACAAAAATCGTTTAAAAATGAGTTGATCTTTTCATTCATTTTTCCTTCCTTGCATGAGAAAATTTTCATCTTTCTTTTTCAAAATTTCTATTGATTCTTTCATTAATTATAAAATAGAAAAATTTTCCTATAATTTTCTGTTTCTTTGTCTGACTGATGACTTTTTTCTATAAAGTTTTTCTTTCTTTGTTTTTTGATACTCTCTTCTCTTTTCCTGTCTTCTTGGTGCATTAATTCCTTTTATGCTCGGCGCACTTTCATTCTTTTCTTGCCTTTCTTTCTTTCTTTCTTTCTTTCAATCCCCCCCTCTCTCTCTTTCATTTTACTGCATTTCTTACTTTCATGCTCTATACACTTTTGTAGAATCTAGCGATTTCTTTCTTTCTTTCTTTCTTTCTTTCTTTCTTTCTTTCTTTCTATAAATTATTCTGTTTTTCTTTGTTTCATTATTATTAAGTTCTTTCCTTTTATACTCTCTACACTTGTAGCATCTCGGTCTTTCTCTCTTTTCCTCTTTCTTTCTTTCTTTCTTTCTTTCTTTCTTTCTTTCTTTCTTTCAATCCCCTCTCTTTCTTTTTCATTCTTACTGCATTTCTTCCTTTTATGCTCTGTACACTTTTGTAGTATCTAGCGATTCTGTTCTGTTCTTTCTTTCTTTCTTTCTTTCTTTCTTTCTTTCTTTCTTTCAATCCCCTCTCTTTCTTTTTCATTCTTACTGCATTTCTTCCTTTTATGCTCTGTACACTTTTGTAGGATCTAGCGATTCTTTTCTTTCTTTCTTTCTTTCTTTCTTTCTTTCTTTCTTTTTTTCTTTCTTTCTTTCTTTCCATAAGTTATTGTTCGTAATTCTTGTTGCTTCCTTTCCTTTCATGTACTTGTAATTTGTTTGTTTGTTTGTTTGTTTGTTTCTTTCTTTCTTTCAATCATTCCCTCTTTTTTTTCATTCGAGGCTGTCTTCTTTCATTCTATGCCCCATCGACTCGCGAGATATTATTCTCTCATTTCTTTTTGCTTTCGTCCATTGCTGGATTTTTTCCTTTTTTGCCCTTTCTACTTTTTCAGAACCTCTCTTCCCTTCTGTCCTTGCTTCTTTCTTGCTCTACATACTTTTCCTGAATTCTTCCTTCCTTCCTTCCTTCCTGCCCTATCTACTTTTGCTCAACCTTTCCTCCCTCCCTTCTTTCTTTCTTTCTTTCTTTGTCTACTTTTACCGAACTTTTCTGTCTTTCTTTCTTTCTTTCTTTCTTTCTTTCTTTCTTTCTTTCTTCAATAACGATTTTAATTTTTATTTTCTCTTTCTTAATATCACCGGAAACATAACAATTGAAATATTTTCCCCAATATTTGGATTATATTTCCAGCTAAGTACCCACAGAAATCCTAATTTTTGTTATCTTTCACCGTCATCATTTCCGACGCCCTCGATCTTCATTCATTTCACATGATTTTTAGGAATTACAAAAAGCAAAACGTGGCATCATAAAATTTGAATAAAGAAGCGTAGGCAAAGCAATATGAGTAATAATTTCAAATGGTGGAAGAAAAAAATTAAAAGCCGAGATTCTTAAAAAAAGAGATGGAGATGGGGAAAAAACACTTAAAAAAAAGAAAAAAGAAGCAAAATAAAAAAAAAATCAATTAAAAATTAATTTAAACGCGTTTCTTGAATAAACATCTCATTCCCACCCGCCGATGTGTAAAAATGAAATAATTATGTTTATTTTAGTTTTGATTTCCTTTATTCCGATATAAAAAAAAGGCTACGATCTAAAAGTTCGAAAAGGAGGCGACGAAATGGATGACAACTCGACAAGTGCGAAAGGAAAACGAATGAATGAGTGAATTTCGGTTAAAAAAAGAAAACAAAAACAAAGTAATTGGAAAAATGATCTGTGAAAATTGGTTTCATTTGAATACGTCTATTGCTGGCGCATATTTGTGGACCATTGTTGGTATTTATAAATTAATATAAAAAGAAAATGTGCAAGAGAGCGTCAAAATGTGAGAATATGTGCGGGTGGGATTTCTCAACAGTAGTTTACGTCTATAACGGCTGGTATCGGATATTTCCCGGACTGTAGGTGCTGTGAATATAGCGTTGAAAGGAAATTCGTTCGCAGTTAAGGTTTACTGGTACCCATTCTGTTTAGTTACTCTGCCAGTAGGCTTCGTGTTATCTAATCGTGTTCGGTTATGAGACGAGATTGTTTTATTGAAACGGTTCTGCAACCTCTACGAATGCTGAAAAATTCGAGCAACATGTCTGTGGCAAATCTTGCATCTTGGTAAATCTACTTGACTCTCGAAATATTTCAACTAGCTTATGGCCAATACTCTTTAGTTCAAACACAGGTTTTTGAGTGACACGCGCGTTTCGGTATTTTTGGCGTTTTCGATATTATACACAAAATACACGAAGCTATTAATGTTAGACATTTATCATTAAAA